AAATGACTGCATTCTGACGTTATAAACGACATGTCAACTCAGTGACTTTTTTTGACGTGATGAACTGTGCTGCACTCGGTTTTCCTGGGTACCATCTTGTTGTTTTTCTGGCCATCGTGTTATTAGGAACCATTGATCTTTTTCTTCTAATTGTATTTGTACAAATGCTTTTTTGACATTTTTGCTATACCGAAGGATTGTGCAAATCGTAGTCGAATGATGATATCAATGAGATCGGGTAGTATTTTAGGTCCTATTTCTAACAAATCGTTGCATGATGCTTTTCCCTTGTCTGCTGCATTTCCAGCTATTACAACTCGTAATGGTGTAGATGCACTTGATGGGCGTTCTACTCCATGATGAGGTAGGTAACTCGGTGTATGGTTCATTTCGTTCTTCTAATTCTTCTAACGTGACTGGTGTTATAACTTTGCTATCTATCCAGTCTTGAAAGAACTTTTTATATTCCTCTGCTAATTTTCCTCCTTTTTCTAGTAGTTTTATTACTGATTTGATTCGTATTTCCCCTATGCGTAAATTAGGACTCCAGATGTCTTTATAGTGCCGTTTTTTAAGTAATGGTGCTGTTATGCGTCCATTATTGAGTGCTATTTTTGACATATATTCTTCTAATTGTTGTTTTTCATCAGGAGTTTGTTTGTCATTATCAATAAAGTGTACTTTTTCCCATTCTAAATATTCAAGTATTTTTGAATTTAATAATTCGTCATTTATTGTTTCTGTTGCTGTACAGAGGTATGTAGTGAATGTATTAACAGTTGCATGGGCTGGTTCTATGGATACATTGTGTGGTGTTCCGCATGGCATTATTCCAAGATTGGTGTTGAGCAGTTGGAACGTACTGTCTTGATATAGGATATTGTTTTGTATATTATGTACTGGAATTAGTTCTTTGCCCCCCAGAATTATGTCAAATTCCACAAAAGTTGCTGTTAAGATTCGAGGGTCAGCCATTTTGCCGTTGAAATTCGTAAAGTTCTGTAATGAAGTAGGATTTTGACCATTCCAACTTGTGTATAGAGGGACAACAATTGCCTCTGCTTGTATTTTAAAGTTGCTATTTTTTCTTGATCTGAGAGTAAGGGATACTATTGTTGTTGATCGCATTATGCCTTCATTTACGTTAATGCCTACAATATCATAATTTTTGTATATGCTGGTGTTTCTTTGAGTTGCAGGCGATTTACAAGTTTTTTGGTTATCAGGTTTATCTGTGCACCAGAGTCAAGTAGTATGTATACAGGCTCGTTTGATGGTTTGTGAATTACTTGTGCTGATTCAAGAAACGTAGATGACATGTTACATTTTGTAGTACATGCATTTATTCGTACCACTTCAGGTTGACTGTTGTCTAGTCATGTGGTTGTAGCTGCATTAGCTAGTTCTTGTTGATTTTCTTCTTTTGGGGCTGCTTGTTGAGTAGATAAATTTGATTGTTGCATAGCCATATTACAAAATCTTTGAAAAGGGTTTTCTTGTGTTTGCAATACTGTTAGTGTAAGTGTATGTAGTTCGCTTAATGACTTTTCTATGTTATTTTGACTTTGTTCAATTTGGTTTTTGGTTGTTTCGGATTCCTGACTGTTTTTATTGTATGGGTTAAATCTATCATTTCCTCTGTTTGATGTTCTATTGGGTTGTTGAGTGTTAGAATTCGAATTATTGTTTGTATTTTCTCTTCTACATAAAGAAGTATGATGTCTTCCATTACATTTTTTACATCTTGAGTTATTTTTGCATTCAATTACTTTATGTCCTTTTCTTAGACAGTTTAAGCACAATTCTTCTCTGTTGAGTATGGTTTGTTTTTCATTGTAGGATTTAGGGCAGTTGAATATGGAATGCTGTTCTTTACAATATAAGCATGGTCGCGGTGTATTTTGTGGAAATCTTTGATAATTTCAATTATTTTGTGTATTTTGTTGCATATTCGATTTGTTTGATGTTGTGTTTGTATTCTTTGTTACTGGTTCAGTGCTTTGTATTTTTTCATTTGCCTTGTTATTTTCATTTGTAGGTTTACTTATATTTTGAAGGTTCATTGGCATTCTTTCCCCGATTCTGAATGTTAGTGTCTTTTCATTATTTGTATTTGTTTTTGCGTTATCCGCAAAATAACTTGCTAGCCATCTGTATTTGGTTTCTGGATCCTCTTCCCATTGATCTAACACTTCATCTGTCACATCTGATGATTGGGCTATGGAGTGTTTCAGTGTTTCTAAAAATGTTTCATGTCTTAGATGATCAACAATTGATGGCCATATTTCTTTATGATTTCATTTTCTATCAGAACTGACGTTGTTTAGGTTGACGATTATTCTTATTAAATCTCTCATGTACTCTGCGGCTTGTTCAAATGTCCCGTTTGGATATGGTAAATTTTCAATATCTTGTATAAGTTGTTTCCTTACTTTTAAGACGTTCCCATATTCATCAAATGTGGTTTGTAACATGCCTAAGTAATCGTTTTCTGTTGTTCTGCCTTGGTATTGTATATAATTCTTTTTTGCTTGACCGTCAAGGTGCATCAGAAATAATGTTATTCTTTCCCTTGGTTTTAGTTGATTTCGTGGTGCTTCATGTATAAAGCAAAATTGAGTCCATACTCTTTCAAAGGACTGTTCATCATCTGGATTTCCATTGAATTTTTCAAATTCAAATTGTATTGTTTTTCCGTAGTTTGTAATGAATGTAGATGCAGTTTGACCATCAAAGTCTATGAAATTACCTGTTCCGTATCTTTTCAATTCCTCTTTTAGTGGATTTTTCATTTCTTCCACTTCCAATCCTAATGCTTTTAATTTGTCCGCTTTGTTCAAAATGGTTGATTCTTTGTTTGACGTTGTTAGCTGTGTTACATTGTGTGCAAATGAATGTCTTATATATGCACCGGAAGTCGATGGTTGTGTTGCTACTCCGCTCATAGATGGTAACTGTGTTTGTGTGTTTGGCGGCATATTTCTTAAGCTTGGTAGCTTAATTCCTATTATTGTGCTCGGTGTCAGTCTGAATTTGTTCCAATTTTCTATAATTTCTTCTATAGGCTGTATAGCTATGTTGGTTAATTCATCTTGTAAGTTTTCGATTTTGTGTTGTGTCTCAATGTCGAGTTCATCTTTTTCTGCGGATGCTAATAGTGTAAGCAATTCTGACAGCTTAGTTTGTATATTTTTGAACTCATTTCGTCTATGTTCTTCGTTTTGTATTGTTGTATGTTTGTCTCCCATTTTTATCAGTTGTGCTATTTTAATAAGTATTGTGATTATGATTTGCTTAATTGGTTTCAGCATTGTGTTTGTTGGTTTGTTTTTTTCTTGTATGTTAGCATTAGTTGTTGCTTCGTTTAGTACTTGAACGTTGACTTCTATGGGTTCGTTATGTTCATTGGTATCAACTTCCATTTCCATTTGATGGGTTTGTATTTTGTTTTCATTTTCTTGTATTTGATTCTCTTCTATATTTAAGTCTGCATTTTGTTTGTTTTCTATTTCTTCGACATAGATATTTGAATTGTTTGGACTCACCCCTTGCGGGTTTTTGTTGGTCGCAGTGCTTGCGCGTGCGGATGCCGCTCTTGTTGTAGGTCGTCCAATTCCCCTGATTGAGGGTCTTCCAGCCCCCCTGCTTGAGGGTCTTCCTCTTTTTGGGGGTGCCATACTCCCTTTTTTTTTCCTTTTAGTATTAAATATATATATATTCTTTTTACCATTTGATCGTTACTCTTTTAATTTTACTGCTCTGCTACCACTTTTGTGATGGATAAATCACAAAGATCAAAAAGATATAATAAGATTTGAAGAAAAACACACAATCCGCCAGGAACACGGCAGGGGGCTTTTCAGTAAAAGCCCCAACGTTAAAACTGATATTGTATTTCAAATGAAAGTTCAAAATGTTTTTAACTTAGTAACAATAAACTCAAACAATTGATTCAAACAGACAAAATTCAGACAGATTTCAACCACAGAAAATAAGCATCCAATCGCACCAGAGGCTAGCAAAGACTGTGTCGTTCGTAATGCGGAAATTGCAGAGGAAGAAAAGGAATTGCACAATGGGAAATTGCGCAGGATTTCCCATTGATGAATTCTTGTTTCTTGATTTTTTATCTTATCGCGTTCTTTATGGTCTTTGCAAAGTTACTTGGTTTTAATTGTTAAGCAAAACTGGTTGGTTTTGTACAAGACGTTCGCGTGCGCCTGGCTGTCCCTTACAGAAGAGGCAGGTATCAATAACTCCTCTCCTCCCAAAGGCCTCGTGTTTACTCCCAGAACACAAGAACACAATTTTGTTTCGATGATGGATCGTTTCGAAAGCTGTAATTATGGCAATGATTTGTGACTTTTCAGCTTGCTGTTCAACAATAACATTCCCAACGTTTCTCCGTCGCATTATTTTCGCATTTGCAGTCGACTGTTAGGGTCTGACTCATTTGTCTCAATCGACCAAGCTCTTTCGTGACCTTAAATGCGTCTTAGATTACATGAATTCCAGAAAATATAAAAATCTCCGGCATGTTTAACTTTTAATATAATTTAATGCAACCTGTATTTATGAGCATGCAATGTCCTGCCATTTCTGCAAAACGATGAGGGGGTTTTGCGAAGGACTGATTTTTTCGTCGTGCACATTTCATTTGTTTCTTAAAATTCCGGGGAAAATGAGAAGGGCAATTAAGTGTCAATATAGGGTCTACCTGTATAGTGCTTATTATGTACAGTATTGTCCAAATTTTGTGGATTTCGACATTGTGATAGGAATTTTTTGCTGTGGGGAAGTACATGATTAGCCCATCATTTCTTCAATTTTGAATTTGTGAAAGAGTCCTATTCTTATCATTGAAGTTTTCAGTTTTTTTAAATTAATGAATACGATATCTGGAAACCGTTTCAAAATAAATTTCTGCACAAACTCACGATGTTGATTCGAATTGTATCCAACCAATGTTGACAGAGAAAATCGTTTCTTCCGAATATTTCAGAAAAAAAATTTTCAAACCGCAAATAAGGATATCAGGTTTTCGCTTGGATCTTCATTTTTGGTGAATACTATCTTCTTTCGGTTTACGTCGAAATTTCAACTGACTTTCAGTTCTTAGTTTTCGCGAAAACTTTCCTTCGTTTCTTTTTTTCTTCTTTCGTATATGGTAGGCATAGTTTTCGTGCTGCATTTACCAAGCTGAAGGTTGAAAGTACTATGTCACTTTTGCGCTTCAGTTTCAAACATGGAACGTATAGTGATAGTCGTTTTGCTGCTCGCATTTTTTCTGAGCGACAGCTTGCAACTAAGAAACGTTACTACCTCTAAACCTCGAAATAATAACCTCGTCATCAAGAAAAAACCACGACTGGTCGGCGGAGACATGATTATAAATTTCCCCATTCCGAATGTGACGGCAGTAAGTATCGAAATTCAAATATTTCCCCTTTTTTAAGAGTGTTCTCCTTGGATGAATGCTTTGAATGAATTTCGACGACAGGGAGACGAACTTCTAGCTCTGAATTTCCAAGCGGATTTGTCCAAGAGACTTTGGCCGAACGGGATCCTGTACTACGAATTTGCTGCAGGATCTGGTAAGTGATGGGTGCAATCTAAATCAGTGTTCCCCAACCCGCGGGGAAATTTCTCCAGGCTAATGAATTTTTCACTAGTAGCAATAAATGAAGGACGTTCCAGTATATTTTTTCTTTTAATTTCGGCAAGACAATTGCAGTTAAAATTATCTCATGAAAACTATATCCTGGCTTTTCTCCTGATAATACTTCAGACAAATTTTTACCTGATTTAATAAAATTATTCCAATTTTTGAGTCTGAAAAACCTTTCTTCAAGCCAACCTTTCCATTTTTGAAAACATTCCACTATGTATCTGCTTTACTATGGTTCCTGAATTAATTTTGCAGAAAAGCAGAAGCTTTTCAAATACAGTACCTGCCATTCAAGCTGCATTTGAAGGAAACATTTTTTGAGCATGTAAATTTTTTTTTGAAAATTGGCTGGTCTTTAGAAAATTTCATGAAACTTCTCCGGTCCGCCGCAGAAAAGTATTTGGATATTTTCTGGTCCGCGGGACCAAACAGGTTGAGGAACACTGATCTATAAAGTAAAGGGAAGGGAATAATCTGAAAGGAATTTTCCCAAATTTATTTGGATTGAAGAAATTGATGAAAGAGTGTGGAGAGATGCTGTCAAGGAGATAGAGTTCAAAACATGCTTGAGAGTTGCTCCACGGAACGGAGACACGAATATTTTGAGTTACGTTTATGTCTCAACAGATCAGGCTGGGTATGAAATTATTTTTCTTTGCACACACAATTTTTGCTAAATTCGGCAATTTATTTTCGCATTCAAGGTGCTGGGCTGAAGTGGGATACACAGCTTCATACACATCCGTTCTGAATCTTGAAGCCGGGGCTTGTTGGTTTAAAGGAACCATCGTCCACGAACTTCTTCATTCTTTTGGTTTCCTCCACGAACATCAACGAGCCGATAGAGATAATTACATTCTAGTGAAATTTGAAAACGTTGAAACGGGTAAGTTCGCATCCATTATAAGATAGATTTTCGAAAATAGATCTGCGCAGTATAATACTGCACAGTACTTCAAAAAGAAGTTCCCAAGTACAGTACCTATTCTACACTTGAGAATACGCTGCATATGAATCGATGTCAGATCCAAAAGTTTTCTTTTCTCAGTTGCTAGCTAACGATTTTCTTGAGTTTCAGTCGATAGTCGATACTGACTTTCCTCTCAGAAGGATATTTTGACAGTGACGCCTTTATATTATTCAGCAGCTTTTTCACACAAAGATCTTATTGCTCAGATAATTGTTTCATCTTAAGATGGATGTCCAATCTTTGAAACTGCTCCTAAGAATATCTTGGAACTACAGTACTTGAAAATTTCAAAAAATTCGTGAAACGGACCAAGCGGGACAGAAAAATCCTTTTCGTCGCCGTGATACATTATACTTAACAATATGTATACTGTATCTGTAATATGCATACTTATTGCCAGTATTTGCAATTGATTATTTCTAACCTCCTTTAAATAAGTAGTCGTCGCGGAGTTCTTTTTTTTTAGAGGTGCAATACCAATTTAGGTTTTTCTGAAGGCGTTCTCTTATTATGACTTATTTTTGGTCTCTTTCTAACGACGACGTGGAATCTTTCGCAATTAAGCTTCGGAATTTATTTAATTTCAGAAAGCATATCATCCTTCGACATACTTCCAAATACCGACGCACACGATGGAAAGTATGGATACGACCTGGATTCCATAATGCATTACGACTCTTTCGCATTTGCAAAAACCGATCCCGCGACAGGATTGGAATTACAAACAATTGTTGTAAAGGCTGATCCGAATCGAATCATTCGTTATCCAAAAAAACTGTCGCCGGGTAACGTAGAGGAAATTCATCTGGTATATCAAGGCATATGCACGAATAAAATGATTTTCAAAAATCCAGCCGCCGCGAGCATTTTCGGAAGACTAGTGCGCTTATTTCAACGGGTATTCATGGGATGAAAATTTATGAATTTTCCGTATCCGTGATCAAAGAGGGATCGAGAAATACAGAGGAAAGAATGTTTTGCTGTTTGTCTCGCTCATTTCAACTGCGCATAACAAAGCAAAAAAATATGTGTGTAAGCAACAAACAGCAGCTGGAAAACATGGAAAATATCCGTAAACACGTCGTCAGTTCGTTCCGAAATGTAAAAGCACCTTCACGTGAACGACTTATCCACTCGGCTTTTAAAAACTTCGATATTAAAATGCAACTAGCTTTTTCAGACGAAGGATACGAAGTTTTGTACATTATGTGAAAAATAATTTAACGTGCCGCCGCTTAGTGTGCAATGTCAATCATATCGCCAGAAAAATTCTAGAAGCATCTCTCTCTTGGATTCATCAGACCATAAAAACAAATATAATTGTGCAAACCCGATTTTCAATTCTTAAAGAATTTTCAATTCTTAAAGAAACGTGCCGTAGTCAACGAAAAAAAACGAATCCCCATTTTTTTTTTGCAAATGAGTTCAACGAAAATTTGTCTGAAGAAAGATACTGGATCTTATGTCAATGACTTCTTCTCGTGATTTTGTTTCATGTTTATCCAACACAGTACAGAAAAAAAACCTACAGCGCCGTACAACTTTTGTTTTTAATTCCTTCGAGTTTCCGGCTTATTTGAGAAGGTTCAACGAATTACGGGAAGGACAATTTATACGTATTTTGAGTCCAAAAAATTCACTCCGCGGGTGTCACAATAGTTTTTATCTAATTTTTTATACATTTATTTATTGCAGAAACCAAGTTCAAACGTGATTGTATCAGGAAAAGTTTGACCTTCAGTCTTCATGATGAAGCAAACACTGCACTTGGCAGTATTTTTCACGATTTTTTTTCTTGCAAACAATGCAGCTGGAAAATATTTCCAAACTTCGAGCGAGGGATCCTATGATAAACTCAGGGTTGGTCAGTGAAGAAATGCTTCTCAATTGTGATGCTCCAAATGCAACGGCTGTGAGTATTGAAGAATACATTAAAAATATTAATCCATTGCCTAAAGTTATATTTCGCATTTAAAAAAAATATTGTATGCATGAAGAAGTTTCTGTCTGCATCGCGTGTGCAAAAAAGGTATCTTATACTGTACTACCAATTCAAAATTGGTGCTCGTGAGTTTCCGTTGTGTGTCATCAGTGCTGAAACAAGAAAAGCCATTTCCCGAAATAAAATTAATAATTAAAAAAAAACAGTAGCCATTCAAACAGTGTGGGACGAAGCAGTGGATGAAATCGAGTCCAGAACTTGCCTGTAAGGAGTACCTCGGAATAACGACTTAACAATCACTAGTTATGTGTCCATAAGCTCCGACTAGAAAGGTGAAAGATTTGTGGTGTCCTCAGGTACGAGAGTATAAACCGCTCATGAACTTTATCAAACTTAGCGATTAGGATAATAAACCATACTGTGTGAGTTAAACAATAAAATTGCACATGATTTTAATGCCCGAGTATTACGAGGTACAGTATTGAAACATTGGGTGAAAAATGTAAACGTCTGCAATATTTTCTCTCTTTCTGTCTCTCCCTCTCTCGGGGGACTCCTAAATAGAAGTTCATGAGCAATTTTACTCGTAACTGACAATTAATCAGCCAATCTTAACAAACAAATTGAGCTTCGAAATTTTACAAATGAAATGAAGGTGCTGGTCTGAAGTGGGATGGAGTCCATCGAGAGAAGGCTCAATCTTTAAGCATCATAGCAGACGCCTGTTGGGTATAAAGGAGTTATTGTTCACTAAGTTCTCCATCATGCTGTTGGTTTCCTTCATGAGCATAAGCGAGACGACAGGGAATTTTACAGTCACAGTAAAGATAAATAATTTTGAAGACAGTGAGGTCTTATCCTATGAGGTAGAACCGACGAGGTTAATCAGGTGTTCATGAACCGAGAATTCCATCAACTACACAAATATTATGAGATCACCGAAGGAATAACGTGATCAACGGAATACAATAATTTTTCGAGTACCACGCACCGTTGATCCCGTGAATATAAGAAGCGTACCAGGGTTTTCCAGTTGGGAATTTCGGTAAAATCCTATATCCAAATAAGAAACGCACCCCATTTTTAATTTTAATCACTCTTAAACTACAAAATTTCAAAAAATTGAGCACCCAAATTTGAATTCAGGCATGAACTGATCATAAATTCAAATATAGTAATTTTAAATTATTCCCAATAAAATAAATTTTTCTGTTCATCTTAATACAAAATTCCTCCTTATAGAAGAAATTACAGTATAATGCATACCAAAATGTCTAAAATTTTTGAAACAATTAATTCTCGCATATGACGTCCTCCCAGTTTTCCTCTCAAATTTGCGGAAAAGAACGAGCATGGTACGCAAGTAAAAAAGGGTATTTCAATATTAAATTTCGTCCATTTTCTTTGTATGAACTTCAATGTCAGCATAAAATTCATGTGACATGATCTCAATGAGGATATAGCAACAAAACGCTAAAAGCGAATGGAAGAACCCATTATTTGCCCACTTCCAGAGCATTTCAGAAATGTGTTGCTTTCATTTGAGATTTCTCAAGATTTACTCAGCAGCGCCTCATCTTAAATGTTTACTCATTTCTGACGTTTCTCTTCCATATACACAAGGAATGCAATGCAGTGTATTATCATTGCGTCGGATGTCAGTTACAATAGTCGACTGTAGTCAATGAAACGTTTCTCGTCGCCTTTTTTATTGCTGCTTTCCAGAAAATAGGTAACACTTTTGATAGACTCTCTATACTCACTTCGATGCAAAATATGGGTACGATATGGACTCCATATTCCATTATACGAGTCTTTGGAATTTGGAGAGATCGACCCTGTCACACGACTAAGAAAAAATGGCAAACGAGTTTTGTGAAATCCGATCTCAGTCGGATCATCCCCGGAACCAAAGTGTTGTCTCCAGTGAATGTTGAGGAAATTCCACAGGCCTACGAAGAATTAAGCGTGCACTATAAGCAGCTCAAGTATAAGAAGCCTGCGGCGAAGATTTTCCGAAGGATCAGACGCTCTCTTCGAATTTTATCGAATTTTTTGCGGACTTGGTGATCATTTCGAAAACTTGCAAAGTTACGGAAGATTCCCCCGAGAAATCGACTCACAAATTATCCCACGGAATTGAGAAACTTTAATTGTAAAAGGTGTGAAGGAAAATGGAACCCTACTTTCATTTTTAAAAAAGTCATGCTTGAAACATGAAACAATATGTGAAAAAAAGCAGGAGACCGATTTTTTTTTTTCAACATTATGACCTCTTCTTGGTCCCCGTTACAACACCGAAGAAAAGGCTATTTTCTGGGGTCCAGAAATTTTGGAAGATATAATATTTTTAAAGTTTAGTTTATTTGATTCCTTGTGGAAAATTTCATTTGACACAAGTGAAGAATTATTTCAAGCGATACACCAATTTATCTATTTCACAATTCAAATCAAACAGAAATTGGAATTAAACTAGGTTTATCAAAGAACATGCACGAATCAAATAGCTTTCCAAAATCCAGCTGCCAGCAATTTCCCATGATTTTTAACATTACAGTAATTGAAGGTTGCCCATGTCTTGCATTTTATTGAGAGAAAAAAAATGGAGGAGGGGGAATGTTTTACGGTTTGTTCCACTCATAAGAACTGAGAATAACAAAGTTTAAAAAAAACCTTCAGCGTTCGTTTGAAAACGAAAAAAATGCTTCACGTCTCCATGCACGTGAGTTTACTATTCCAGAGCACTCGAATTTTAAAAACTTGGATATCAAAGCTGAACTAATGTTTTCTCACGAGACATGCGAAAGTCGTGCTTAGTATAAATGGAGAGCAATTGCTGAAAGTGCGCCACAAGTTAGGGCGTAATTCTAGTCCGATTGATGAGCAAATCTGATAGCAAATCACTCTCGGATTCATCAGACCATAAATACAAATTTGGTGATCAGCATGGGATTTTTAACGGGGTCCCCGGGGCACGAAAGCCCGGGACACAGAAGCCCCGGCAAACGAAAGCCCCGCCACGAAATCCCCGCCGTACCCGCGCCCAGCTGTAACGAAAGCCCCGAAATTTTTTTCGATTCTGCAAGAACAGGGATCAACTCAGAAGAGGGAAATGTTTTCGAATACTGTACTTCCGATTCCAAAAGTAAAACAAACTCGCGTTGAAAAACTTATTTGGAGGAGCATTCAACGAAGTCAAGCACATTCGCACACATGAACACTTTGGGATGACGCTCCAAAAATACAAATGGGCGGAGTAAAAAAAATGAAAAATGAGTAGGTCATCACAAAAAAATAAAAAAAGAAGAGAGGTACACGTCGTGCCGCCTTCACAAATGACATTCAGGAGAAGAATTTGACTGAAAATTCACCATACATCCGTGGATAAAGTTGCCTTTGCTTTTTCAGGATTGAGGCTGCATTAAATCCGTCTAAGTGCCGTATGTTATATTCTTGTGCTTTCTGTAGTAAATTTTCCAATCAAACAAAATGAAGTATCCAAACTTACTCTCTGAATTTTAACTGAAATATTCGAGAATTGATTCCTACACTTCAGCACATACACGAGCGTTCCACATGATGTCCTGTTTTTTGAACAAAGTTTGGTCGAAGTCCGCGTGAATCCCGTAAGACTGAGTTATGCTTATAACTCTGTTCGATGTTGGCACATACATCTGAGCACAAGGACGTTATTTTAAAATTCTGCCCCAAGGATACTAGTTTCTGTCGTGTAAGTGTATAACACTGTTTTGCAAAGGGATGTTTCAAAATCCTAAAATTACCTTGGAATGTCATCGCCATCAATTGCGACTCCGGCAGAGTCATACCCTCGATACTCAAGCCTTTGCAATCCTTTTATGAGAAAATCTATCGAGAAAAACATGCGCTTCTTACGGGGAAAAAAATTTCGGGGCATTTGTTACAGCTGTGCGAGGGTACGGCGGGGATTTCGGGTCAGGGCTTTTGTTGGCCAGGGTTTCCGTGTCCCGGACTTTTGTCGCGCGGGGATAGTGACTCTTTCCCATCAGCATGATCAAAAAATGATGTGCTTCAATTTTGATTGGGCAAAAGTGCTTCTTCCTTTTTACAACAAAGTGTCGAGTCAGCCGAGAGAGTATCTGAATTTTTTTAAATATATACTTAGAATCCTCAATGTGATTTTAACGAAAATTAGTCTTAAACATTACTGGATGTTACGGGATTCACGCGGACTGCGACCAAACTTTTTTTTTTAAACAGGACATGATGCGGAACGCACGTGTATGTGCTGAAGTATAGGAATAAATTCTCGAATATTTCAGTTAAAATTCGGAGAGTGAGTTTGGATACTTCATTTTGTGTCATTGGAAAATTTACTGCGGAAAGCACAAGAATATAACATACGGCACTTAGACGGATTTAATACAGCCTCAATCCAGAAAAAGCACAGGCAAATTTATCTCTGCATAGAACATGTTTAATAAAAAAAATTGGAAAGCTTATCTCTGCATATCGATATTGTTTAGGAGAAAATTAATTTTTTATGTTTTGAACCCTTTGACGGCTGAGAGTTCCTGGTTGTCCTGAGGCAAAGTCAGGATATTTTCAGTTTGACCAAAGATCACTGAAATGCCCCAGTTTGCCATGGCCTGAGTCAGGAAAAATCCAGGTGCAGAAAATCCCATTGTCTCAAAAACCCCCATCTTTAATCCTATGAATGAAAAACGCCATCCAGGGAGGACTCTTTTCAGCCAAAGTTTTCTTCAGGATTTTTAAAAAAATATTGGAATTTTTCTGACTTGAGCCTTGGTTTAAAAAACTTATTTATTCAATTTGCAGCTCTCATGGGGATAACGTTTTGCAAAAATATCCTGACTTAGCTGCACAAGGGTTAATATGGGATATAATGTATTCCTCTTGGAAAATCTTGGGATTTGGCGACTCATTTCATTGACCTTGAGTCAAACACAAAATTTTCGGCACTGAGATATAATGGAATCGGTCTCTTTCCGTTGCTTGAGAATACCGTGTTTCTAACACTAATGCTATATTTTCGCCCATAAAAAAATGTTACTGCAGGAGAAACCTGTTGTTCATTTTCAATCTTCAAGTTCACTCCGCGCGTTTCAAAATACTTTATTTTTTTTTACTTCCAAACGGAGGATTTTTTTTTACTGTATACTTATTTCAGAAACCAAGTTCAAAACCGAGAGTACTGAGACGATATAGTGCTTCAGTCTTCATGATGAAGCGAACACTCATGTCAACGGTATTTCTCTCAATTTTTCTCGTGCAAAAAGTGCAACTGAAAAATATTTCTGGATTTTCCTCTCGGGACCCTTTGATGAATCCAGGCATGGTCGGTGGAGACATGATCATAAACTTCGGCGTTCCTAATGCGACGTCTGTGCGTATTGAAAATAAAATTTTGAAATGCATCCATTGCATGATTTTTTCTTTCATGTTCTAAAACATATCCAGGGGGCAGACGAATCTCCGGCGTACATCTTTCAGGCTTCGTTGGCCAATTCGCGTTGGCCAAGTGGTGTCTTACACTACGAATTTAAAATCGGTGCAAGTGAGTGTTTTTGTTGTCAGTGGAACAAAAAATATTTCGAATTAAATTAAAATTAATGATGACTTCTGACCATCAGAAACCAATAAAACAGCTTGGGATGAAGCAGTGAATGAAATCGAGTCCAAGACTTGCCTCCGAATCTTGCCACGGAATGACGACATAACCATCACCAGTTTTGTGTCCATATCCACCAACCAACAGGGGTGAAACATCTTTCTTTATTTTCATTAGATGGAAGAGAAAAATCCCTCATGAGCTTTCCATGTGGCAGTGTATTGCTGGAAACGACAAACATGACCAGTATATACTGTATTAGCGTTGGAGAATTGTGGTGTGACTTGGTTGTGTAGGAATTTCTTAATTAATTCTCAGAATACCAGGAAAAGTTGATGGAAATTTTAAGGGATTCTATACTTTTCCTGGAATTTTTGAGGTAAACCAGATGCGGTGTTTTCTTCAAATTTCTTCTCATCAAACAATAAAAGATAAAAGGCGTATGAGTTACTATGTAGGAATTTTGAAGCAAGGTAATTGCCTACCTTATTTAAAGAACAAAGCAAAGATGGAGAAAGAAACGAGGGTCCTCGCATGAATCAGTCTGCCCTGTGTTTTGTTCGGATGTGAAAAATGCTGAGTTTTGAATTCCGATCAGCACATTTTACATAATATTTTCTTTTACTGATCCATCCACCAAATTTTGTTGCAGCCCATTTTAGCTCTCAGCAATTGATTAACCAATATTAACGGGGAAATTTGTAGGGTTTCTTGTGGATTAGCTGCAGTAGGAAGTTTGTAAGGAATTTATCCTTCATTTGAAACGTGATTAACCCATTAACTGCCAAATTTCCCACACACCCATTTTTGCATCACTTCACTTCATTTACATTTAGATAGGCTGGGGACATTTTTTAAAATGTTAAATTCAAAATTTTGTCAAAATATTTGAATTTTAAACTTGATCCCCATTGCTGCTCATCAGGTACCATCTTATTTTTTTCCTAATAAGAAAAGTCTTCTATAAATTGAAAAAAAAAATTTGTTACATGTTTTTACTAAATTGTGTCATTGTCAGCTAAATTTGAGTGCAAACATATCTTCTGATTCAGTTGAGATACTAGAATGCCTCTAAGAATGAAATGCATAAATAATTTTTCATGATTTTCCAAACATTTTTCAAAGTTTTTTGGTGAAAGCTAAAATACTCTATGGTCATCATCCAGCCTAAAAACCAAGTAAATTTTCAACACTTTCCAGCTGTTAGATGAAGTTCAAAAGCTTAGGGGCATCTTCACCATTTTTTTCACAAAAATTGTCTATATTACTACTAGGGAAAAATTGAAAATAATTGATTTTAAATTTTAAACTCAATCCAGCAGTTAGGTTTATTCAGCATGAGAAACTTTTTTCATACATTTTCAAGAAATTTTCCAAAATATTTCTTTTACACCCAAACTGGCATGACCCTCATTTGGGGATCAAGTTTCTTGCACTTGTTCTGATTGATCAACATTTTAGAAAATTAATTAAATTATGTCAAAGCATTCAGAACCAACCAGGCTATACAAGGACACAAACAATTTCAAACGTAGGTGCACAATAAAGTACAGTACTTTTGCATTCCAAAAATTGTGTTTTAACTTTCCACCAGAAATTGTAAGTTGGACTCGGAAAATATGTTGCTGAGGACTGAAAAATGAACATAAAAGGCAAATGAGGTCTTGAATTGTCCATAACTTCATTGCCAAACCTTGGCATATTTTTACATAATTTTTGTTTTGATGGTTTTTGGGGGAAAAAAAGCACCTGAGTCCCAAATGTGGCCTACAGCAGGTAATGGGTTGGCAATTTCCTTAAATAAGCTATAATTCAAATTCTGGAATTGGAAGGTGCTGGTCTGAAGTGGGGCGAAAACTATTTTCCTCTATGCTCAATCTTGAAGCAGACGTCTGTTGGTCTAAAGGAACAATACTCCATGAACTTCTTCATGCATTCGGGTTCCTCCATGAACATCAACGAAGCGACAGGGATTCCTACATTACAGTGAAAATAGAAAACGTTGAAGACGGTAAGGTCTTCCCCCTTGTGGAATATAACATACATTATTCAGGTTTTGATGAACCAAGGATTGGAATAATTCTTCAAATTATGAGATCATCAGAGGATAAGAGCCATCAATGCATGAATGGATTTCAGAAATGCATTCCCCTCATTCATAGCATTTTCGTAATGTCCATAATAATAATAGTGATCCAATATATTTGTTTTCATAATTAAAAACCTGATCCTTGCCCTGGACCCAGAAAAACTGTGTACTGTCAAAGAATGTAGCAATGATATGTACCTGAGAAGTATATATTCTAATGTGAATAGTTGTGACCAGTGTACCAGGAGAATGACATGGAGTTGGACATGTAGATAAGGAGTGTGCAGAGTTGACATGGGTAAAGTTGCATCCATTTTTGACATGAGAGGATGTGTTCCATGATGTGTCTGTCATTGGCAGAACAATTACACATATATGTGTAGGATTGTGAACAAGCCATTCTATGATTATTATAAGAGAATAATGTCTGTATGACAGTATGAAAGTTGTGTAAGTAAGGTAAGAAAAATATAAGTGCCAACAAATTGAAAAAGACATACTGTACATGAATTCTACATTGAATTCCATTTTATTGTGACATCCCAGACCATCACATTGAGTTTAAACATGAAGTCTCTTAATGAAAAGTTGAATCCCATTTCAACTTGACATCCCTGAATGTCACATTTCAGCCATTTAATCAGAGAATTCTGAAAACTCAGCTCAACTGTATTACACTTGTTTAGTGCCATGTTGAACATATAATCTTGAATTATATGTGAAGTAACAAGCCCTCTGATATATTGTCAAGAAATATTGAAGTTCAACATGACATCAATGAATGTCACATTGAAATTTACCAACATATTTGTAAAAGCTCATGTGCACAGTTTAACAGTGATAAACTTGTGTGTATAGCCATTGTAAAACCCTTGTTGATTTCTAGGTGAATTAAAAAACCCGTAATGCATTGCTAAAAAAGATTAAGTTCAACAAAACATATCAGTGAATGTTGCATTGAAAGTGCATTACGCCTTTTTACATTTCTATGTGCCCAGTCACAGTTTCATACACTTGTGAAGCCATTTAAAAAAATTTTGGATTTTATGGGAAATATGTAGTCTGTGATGCTTTGTTAAGAAAGAATCAAGGTCAACTTGACATCTGTGGATGTTACATTGAAATTCAATGAAGCCTTTCTACATTTAATGTACCAATTACCTTGTAATAAACGTGTGTACCTATTTTACACATAATCTGGGATTTCAGGAAAAAAATTTAGTCAGCTGTTTGCTGATAATATTGTACAAATTTTTGACTGGGATATTTTGTCAAAGGAGAGAAATGTACGTACTCTTTTAAAAGATCGCAGAGTTGCCCTTTTCAAGAAAAGGGTTTTTACAAAAGTCGGTTTTTAAGAAGTTGGTCTGAGGAGAAAAAGATCAGATCTACAGAAAAAATAATCAGTAGACAAATTGGCAGGCGCGCAACCTGCCGGAATAAGCGCAAACGTGTTTTCCACAATCTTATGCAATTTTTCACGAGACACTCTTGAACACTTTCAATAAATGCGCAGGACTTTTTGCGTTAAGTTCGCAAGTTCAGATTTTGAGATTTGGACACTGAATAATGGTTCCAAAACTTTTGAAGCAGTCTTCTGCAGCACTCTCGTTGTTGTTCTGATGATGATTCCTCTGTCGAGGTCCGTCTTATGCTTTTTGGGATCCTTTGTTTCAAGCCCGGGGCTTGTCATCTGCAACGTTGGGAACTTCCGCCGAATTGCGGTAAATTCAGCCCAACTGTTAGGGGGGCTGATTTATCAGGATACAGAAATTTGTAAAAAGTCAGTTTTCCCCGAAAATTCCAATTTTTGGGATAAAGAGGTTTAGGTTGTAAAAGACTCGTGAGAAAGGAATCTGCTCCTCTCTATAAAATTTGACACAGACCATTTGTGTCCTTGTTTTGAGTTTCTGACGGGGGGAAGGCGCTTGCGCAGCAAGCGTCAAGTTTCGAGTGTTTGAGAGGTAATTGAGTCCCCTCATAGAAGAGGGGAACCCCTGTCATTTTTCCGGGGTTCTATCTCTTTTTGGCGGCTTAACGGCGGCCAGCCGGTCTGAGCCATGTGTCTTTTGGCACGCCAATATTCATTGGCGCCCCCTTTTAGAAATATAATCCCCAAAGTTTTGAACTTTGGGGATGACCAATAAATTGCGTCAAAAACATGACACAAACCTCGGCTCGGGGGGTAATTTCTCACAAAATCCCCCTCGTCTTCAGGCGGATTGGTTTTCCCAAGGAAAAATACCTCTCAAAGACGATATAAAAACCCTGAGTTGAGCGTTAGTCACTTCACAGTTTTGGATTTGTTGCGCACTGTGAAAGACGGGGGTCAAAGTCCATGGGGATTTATCTCCCGTGGCATCCTCAGTCTTTTACAAATCCGAGAGGACCAAAGTCTTTCCTCTCGGGAGAAGACTCTGCCAAAAAAAAGTGCTTTCCCGATTTTGATTTGAGCTCTTGCCCCATCGCGGATACTTTTATTTTGGTCTTTTTGCCTTTTTGCTGAATTGTGTTGGACATAGTCAGTGGCCAGCTGAGGTCCGCCCACTAATTCAGTGGTTCAGGTAATTCCGTTTTTGTTCGGAGCCTGGTACTCTGATTTAAAATCAGACTGTTTGTTTCGGAGCAAAAAAGGGTGCGCACTCTTTTCCATTATCCCCGCGATTGAGTATTCGATCGGGAAAATTTTGTCTGAGCTTGAGCAAATTTCTGGCGGCCTAGGGAAGTAGGTGTGAGATCGAGTCACATACTTCCTTAGTTGGTCATTGTTTGCTGAGCTTTGATTGTTGGTTTTGATCGCGTTTTTGATGTGTCTGTTGGAGGAACGGGGATGAGTTGAAGGGTGTACAGTTGACAACTGAGTCAGGGTCTGAGATGATTTCAATGTCTCACCCTTGTCCCGGTTGAAAAACAGTGCACTTCTCGTAATTCTCCCCCTGCTCTCTCTTGTGAGGAGAGTTCAAATTTTCCATAAAATGTGCTGGTCACGACTTGACGAGAAGGGTCAAGGCAGGTTTTTCTCTCACCCGCTCGATGCATTGTTGGTCAGTGCTTTTTGCTTTTCACCAAAGAGCTTTTTGGTTTCAAAGAGTTTGTCAAGAGCAAGTTTGAAGGGAGTCAGATTCTTTTTGCTGTTTGTTAATACGAAGTGTTCCTTCTTGGTTCCCCTATTTCAGATGCAAAAGGGAAGTTTTTTTTTTGCTTTGTTTGTTATACAAAAAAGGTTTTTGTGAAGAAAATGGAAGGTTCTGATAGAAACGCATCTAAAGGCAGCCAGGGTCATGGAGAGACCTATGGTGAAATCCCTGAAGACAGGGAGGCCTTTGAAGAATGCCCCAATGTAGACAGCAAGGGCAAATCAGGTAAGATAGATTTAAGCAAAAATTATCAGAACTCTTCTATTTTTAAACAAGAATTTTCTTTTCCCCTTCTTTCTTTTGTCTTGGTCAACTCTAGACGGGCCGCCTCTTATGCTGGCAGTGTCCAGTGACTCCGAGATGCCGGAGAACAAGGTTTTGGTCAAAGACTTTGTTACGGTTTGTCTGCTGGCCGCCCACAGCGGAATCTCTGACAGGATCTCCGCGTTGGATTTGGCCAGTTTGGATTGGCTTTTGGACCTGCTCCCATTTGTTTCTTGGGAGAGGAGCGCAACCCTCAGCCGTGACGGCTTGAGGGCAGAATTGGATTGTATAAAGGTGGAGACTCAGAGGGCTGCCGAACAGCTGTCATCCCAAAAGTCCGAACTGCGTTGGGTGGCGCAAGAGAGTGCCAAAATCCAGGAGCAGAAACGGCGGCTCGAGGCCCAGAATTTGGTGTTGGCGGAGCTGAGTTGCCGCGAGCGCAAGGTAGTGGCCCAAGCCGAGGCCAGCATGCGGCGTGTTTTCAGCCGACACGCCGGGTCGTTCCAGGGTGCTGTTTCCGGAATGCTGGAGATCTACCTCGCCAAGGGAGTTGGCTACACCAAAACGATCAAGGGTAATTTCCCAGGGTTTATTGGATTTGATTGACAGACAAATGTTGCTAATCAATTTTTTGCTTTTGATTTTCTGTGCAGAGAGCAGCCTTGGCACCGTTAAGATCTGGTCTGTTGGGGAGACAAAAATATACTCAGGATCCATGGCCGCCTTGCAGGGGCTGTGGGTTGATCAAGCCGAGGACAACTTCTGCCTCCAGACTTTGGCAAAGGAGACCCTGATCAAGCTGTTGACAGCAATTCAGGTCCCTGCCTCTCCGCATAAGCGGGGAAGGGATGCAGAATTGAGCGGGGATCTGAACCCCGCTCCCTCAAAAAATTGTGCCGGGTCGTCCGGTGTGGTTTCCGCCCCTGTGAATCCTCCTGTCATTGATTTGGCAGCGGAGGACATTGACAAAGATTTGGATCCGGACGTTGCTGAGATCTTGAACCCCTCTACAAATTTTTTGAGTGGGGTTTTTGTATATGGCTTTCCTAACAGTATGTTTTCTTCATGTATTTTGACAGGGAGCGCCAACCACCCTTTCAAGTATTTGTCGTTTGAGCCAGAGCAACCGTACATCTTTAAGCAAAATGCATTCAAGAGGCTGGGCCTGACCCTAGAGAGGGTGTTGAAGTCATCCCCCTTTGTTATGCCAGTCCCTGGATGTATCGTCCAGGATTACAAGTATGGGTGCCAGGAGTACCCTCATTGAGGACCACTGTTGTCAAACAATGGCTCTTACCCCCATATTTTGATCTTGGGGACATCCCTGACAATCCCCTGGAGGCTGGCAAAAGGTTGCCACACCTTCTGTGACACTCTTTGCGCAGACCGCCCCGTCAACCGGGCGGTTTATGACTTCAAGCATCTGTTCAAGGGACATCCAGTTGAAGTGTTTCAGGTGAGAAAAAAGGGATGAGACGGTCCTGGGGTGCAAAAATAATAACCTCTTTTTTCGTCTGTTCTCCCGTTTAGTATTCATTGAGAGGCTGGGCCACCCTTGTTGGCGGCAATCAGGTCGTGACCCCCAAGGAAATGAAAAAGCGGGTCTATGCCGACCTGAATTTGGCCGAAGATTTCAAGTTTACCCACGTCTTCGTAATAGTGGGTACAAACAACCTCAAGATTTTGGCCAGCCCTGAGGCCCCGAGTTGTTACCCCAACTTGGGGCATTTCCTGACGGTGCTGTATGGGTATTATTTGGCCCTGTCACGCGTTTTTGACGCCAAGGTGTTTGCTTTGGGGGCTTCAGCTCCCCCATACCTGCCACCAGGACGGACGTCGTATTTGACGGAGTCCTTTGATTTGGACAACCAAAACGTCCCCCTGATTCCCCTCCAGCACCAGGGGTGTCGGTACTTCACGCCAAAGTCCCATGAAAATGCGGCCCATGTTTTCCTGCAGGCCCTTTACAACAGGCTATGGTCGAAGATCGGCCATGTCCAAGGAAACAATGGATGCCCTGGCTGGTGGGCAGTGCCTACACCAATTAAACCTCTGTCGGCGTTTGATTGTTTTGAGAAGACTCTGTCCGCGTTCGGGCACATCCACTCTCGTGCTTATCTTCTCTTTGCTCAGCTGCATGCTGCAGCAATAAGCTTTGGTCTTGAGTGGAGCGGGGGTTCAAGCCTGACCTGGGGTGCTTACACATGCCTGGGGTCGTGCCCCTATTGGCTCCCCAACGGAACAGCGGCTCTGGGGATCCCCCCTGGACTCCCCCACTCTCACTTTGGGGAAGAGGCAATGGTGCCGTGTCATGGCAGTAATGGTCCCTTCCACATCAATCCAGCCGTCAAGGGTGCTGGTGGCAACCCTTCAAGGCGTAAGTTGACATGAAAGAAGGTTTTCTCAGTGATTGATACTAATGTGTTTTTCTGTTTTCGTTTCTTTATTCAGGATGGAAAGCTTCCTCAAGGAGCGAAACTTCATGGAGGTGTTCTCTGTGGAGTTCCTGAATTAGGATCTGCGGCAAATTGCTTGGGGGCGCCTCGTCATAGGAGCGCCAGTTTTTCAAGGGAGAGGATCGTCGCCAACCCGCCGTGTAATTATTGCCAAATCCGGAAATGGGTTTTGGTTGGTGGAAGTTGCAAAAGGGTCCACAGTGATGTGACGGACCTTCGTTGCGCTGATTTATTTGCAGAGGGCGATTGTGTTTTTTTGGGGGGCATGTATTCTTTTGTATGTACAGTGTTGTTTTGTACATTTACAGGCTAATACAAAAATAAAGTGCCTGGGTTTCCTCAGGCTTTGCTTGAACCTTTGGTTTTTCTTTGTAAAGTTTAGCCAAATTCTGCATAAAGACTGTCTCCTCCAAATCAGCTTTGAGAGGGATAAGGTTCTGCACACTTTGGTCACTTTGGTTGGGAAGGATGCTTTTGATAAATTTTCCTCCAGGTCAGGGCTTTGCAACTTCAATGTCAACTGCCCTAACAAAGTCATCCCTATTGCTGGGGTGCAGCTTAACAATTCTGGCCAATTTCCATTTCAGCCTTTCAAAGGCAGTGTCTCCCTTAAAAGTAAGTTTTTTTAGCAACACCATCTGATCAATTTTTGGTTGCAATGTTGATCCCCGCGTCTTCCTTACGGGGAATTTTCTGAGTTCTTGAATGTAGTTCTCATGAAAAGACTTTCACACATTGTTCATCAGCCTTAAACAATAAATTGCTCCCTTTCTTAAACCGGCTGCGGATCCCCCTGCGAATTGTATGGGGGCCAGACCGTATAGTAAGGGATTGAATTCTGGATCAGCTTGATGCGGGTTGATGAACA